CCTCACCCTAACTAGCCTCCTTCACCCTCAAACGTCCCTGAAAACCCTAAAATCATTAGAGTATGTGTTCTTGAGCTTGTAAGTGTGTAAACACCATCCTTTTGGTGTGTTCGCTACAAGGAAGAGGAGGAAACAAGCTTGAACGTGGAAGAGCTCCTCGATCTTACATTTTGAGAAGTTCAGGAAGCTTGAAGAGGTAAAAAGCTTTCACCTTGGTCATCATTTTCATTTCTAGAGCTAGGGTTTTCTCTTTAGTCCTTTTTGTGTTCTTGGACCACCTCTTGAGAGTTTGAGCAACTCCAGTGCTTAGGGAGGATAGATCTGAAGTCCTTTAGTCCATTCATCTCATAAAAATGGAGTCTTGATGGGTGTTTTGACCACATGCATGGATTAAGACTCTTGGAAAAGTCTTAACGGGTTGTTGGGAGCATATGGAACATGCAAAGGAATAAAGTTGCCAACTTTATGCCTTAGGACGTCTTAATGAGCTCAGATCTAAATATTAGACGTTGGAACATCAAGTAATAAGCACTTAATGGAAAAAGGTGCTTAATTTGTTTGTACGCTGGGTATAGTATAGTGTACGCAGCACGTAAAACTCAGGGACTCAGTACGCTAAGCGTACAGGAGTGGTACGCAGGGCATACGCACTCAGATGGACTTGGACTTGTTTTGGGCTTGAAAGCCCTTTAGGCCTTAATCAGTTATTGGGCCTGGTCATGTTTTGAGTTAGTGGGCCAATTCATCTGTTTTGGGCCATGATTGCTATGGTTGGGCTTTATTGGGCCTTGAGGCCCATTAATGATGTTTGGACATGGACTTTTGGCCCATTAGCAATGGGAGACTTTTGGGCCATTATGAAAGGACTTGGGGCTTGGGTTCTTTAATTGGATTATACTCAACCCTAACCTTGGGTGAATGGTATTATTGTTTAGCACGGGTGGTTACAGACTGTTAGGAGAGCAGCTTTCGGATTCAGCAGACAGAGGTGAGTCTCATCACCATACCAATGGGTTGAAGGCACCAAGGCCGGCCCATCTAGTTAGATGTAGTGTCTATTATGGATTCACTACTATTATGTATGGTATGCATGTATATGAGAATGTGCTAGTACTTATTGAGTAGATATGGGAAGACCCCGAGGGAGCCCGTGGCAGTTGGATATAAGACCATGTGGGAGAGCCCATGACATTCTAGGTAAAGAGCATGTGTGGGAGCCCATGACAAGTAGTTAAGACCATGTGGGGGAGCCAATGGAACATAGGAGTAAGACCTTGGAGGGAGTCCACGACATCCCTATAGGTTTATGTATGAGTTATGTAGTATGATAGATATTTCTGTGACATATGATGTGTTAGTTGACTTTGTGTTATCTGCATGGAAGAGCCCAGGGGGAGCCCGTGGTAGTTAGATATAAGACCATGTGGAGGAGCCCATAAAATTCCTAGGTAAAGACCATGTGGGGGAGCCCATGACATGTAGGTGTAAGACCCTGGGAGGAGCCCACGACATCCTTATATGTTTGTATGCATGACTTATGTGGTTTACGTAGCTTGTATAGCTGTTATGGATTATGTTGTTATGTGGATTGTGTGGGGTGTGCTCTGGGGAACTCACTAAGTGGTTGTTTGATAGTTGCTGACTGAGTAAGATCTGACTGAGTCAGAGTCTGACTGGGTTTGAAGTCTGACTGAATCTACATCTGACTGAAACCATATCGTTTGATTATGCGACTGGTTGGCTGTACGATGGGTGTAGTATAGTGTACGCAGCGCGTACAACTCAGGGACTCAGTACGCTAAGCGTACAGGAGTGGTACGCAGGGCGTACGCACTCAGATGGACTTGGACTTGTTTTGGGCTTGAAAGCCCTTTGGGCCTTAATCAGTCATTGGGCCTGGTCATGTTTTGAGTCAGTGGGCCAATTTATCTGTTTTGGGCCATGATTGCTATGGTTGGGCTTTATTGGGCCATGAGGCCCATTAATGATGTTTGGACATGGACTTTTGGCCCATTAGCAATGGGAGACTTTTGGGCCATTATGAAAGGACTTGGGGCTTGGGTTCTTTAATTGGATTATACTCAACCCTAACCTTGGGTGAATGGTATTATTGTTTAGCACGGGTGGTTACAGACTGTTAGGAGAGCAGCTTTCGGATTCAGCAGACAGAGGTGAGTCTCATCACCATACCAATGGGTTGAAGGCACCAAGGCCGGCCCATCTAGTTAGATGTAGTGTCTATTGTGGATTCACTACCGTTATGTCTGGTATGCATGTATATGAGAATGTGCTAGTACTTATTGAGTAGATATGGGAAGACCCCGGGGGAGCCCGTGGCAGTTGGATATAAGACCATGTGGGAGAGCCCATGACATTCTAGGTAAAGAGCATGTGGGGGAGCCCATGGCAAGTAGTTAAGACCATGTGGGGGAGCCAATGGAACATAGGAGGAAGACCTTGGAGGGAGTCCACGACATCCCTATAGTTTTATGTATGAGTTATGTAGTATGATAGATATTTCTGTGAGATATTTCTATGATATATGATATGCTAGTTGACTTTGTGTTATCTGTATGGAAGAACCCAGGGGGAGCCCGTGGTAGTTAGATATAAGACCATGTGGAGGAGCCCATAAAATTCCTAGGTAAAGACCATGTGGGGGAGCCCATGACATGTAGGTGTAAGACCCTGGGAGGAGCCCACGGCATCCTTATATGTTTGTATGCATGACTTATGTGGTTTACGTAGCTTGTATAGCTGTTATGGATTATGTTGTTATGTGGATTGTGTGGGGTGTGCTCTGGGGAACTCACTAAGTGGCTGTTTGATAGTTGCTGACTGAGTAAGATCTGACTGAGTCAGAGTCTGACTGGGTTTGAAGTCTGACTGAATCTACATCTGACTGAAACCATATCGTTTGATTATGCGACTGGCTGGCTGTTCTGATTGTTGAAAGTGACAATTTTACCATTCTGTTCTACTTTTTTAGTGGCATGACAAAAGAACCCAAAAAAGTACATTGCCATTTAGTGTAGGTTTTAAAAGAAATTAACCAACAAACTAAAATACATTGCTATGTAATGTTTGTATGAAAAAGAAAAAAAAAAGTACATTGCATTTTTAAGAGCTTTTTTCACTAATTTCTTTGAAATAACCTAGATAACAAAATATACAAATATCATATAAAATCTAAATTAAACATAATAATTACAATTTACAAAGTCTATAAACAACACGATCATAAATATGAAAGACCGGATTCCAACACGTTTGTGAGCCATTAAAATAGAACATGATCAAGTTGAGATGAACAAACATCTGGGACAAAAACAATCAAAATTAGCATGTAATTCAAACCCAAAACTATGTTAAACACCAAAGATTCAGCTAGACAAGCTTGATGAATTGCTGAAAACAAAAAAAATCAAGAAACTCACCTGTTCTTGTTCCTAATACATGTCAGTTGAAGATGAAGCTACCAATGAGTACTCTCTAGTTTACATTGTACCTTAAACCGATTCTTCGACTAAACCATTGGTTTTATGGCCAAATGGAGGTACTTTTCCAAAAGAAAACAATCAAGCATTTCCAATCCAACACAAGCATCAACTGGAGTCAGCAATCCTGCAATTGAAAATAAATTGATTTTGTGTGAAAAAAATATAGCAATCGTAGTTTCAAAATTGATAGAATCAGAAGAAAAAAACAAGCAATGGATTGAAGCATGCATCTGATTTTACAAAAATATATCTAATTTCAGTAAACATACATTCAATTTTAGAAAAAAAAAATCAAAGGGCTATAAAATTACCAGCGACGGGGCTGCTTGCTGCAGCAAAGATGGTGGTCGGCGGGAGGGTTGGAGGCAGAAGAAGTCATCGTTGGAGCATGAGAAGGGGTGGGCGAAGTTTGAGGAAGAATCGATTGAGCTGTATCTTGCGTTCATCCATCAATTTGGCGATAAGGAAGAAAGATGTGAAGACCGGACGTGTTTTGGAATAAGGGCAAACGAAGGAAATCAAGAAAAAGACCGAGTCAACTTCTTTTTTTAATGGAACGAGCAAGGAGATGGGTTAGTAGCTTTTTACCGGGCCAGAGAAAATTACCTTGTATCAAACAAGCTGACCTAATCGAGTCAGCCAAAAAGTGCTAACCGGACCCAGTCAGCAAGTTATCAAATAGGTCCTAAGCATTAACTTACAATTTGTTGATTTGTTTCAGGTATTTCAGAGCCTAAGGGCAAGGGCAAGGTTTGATGGTGCGACATGCACTCTCCGACATTTTATTTGGGGACACTCTGATATTTGAAATAAAATGTTGATGTTATGAATTTTGAAAACAATTGTAATTGAGATTTCATATATTATAGGAATGTTTTGATTAATTAAAAATGAAAAATTTATTTGGAAATTTGGGTCGTTACAAAATTGTTGTGGGCAACACGGATCGCCACCACCACAACCCACGACGACACATCGGGATGGTGTGTACGGTCCTGATTCGTGGCCACCTAGACCATGAACTGGTTTGTCGTATGTACACCAATGTCTTATTATCTTGTGTTGTTAATAATTTATATATACTAATTGAGAAGTACAAGATGAACAGCACTTCCCTGTGATTGGCGGGTTTTTCCTTTTTTTTTCTTTTTTCCTTTTTTCTACTTTTCCTTATTTTATTTGGTTTTTTTTTTCAGGTCTGCCTCTTCCATCTACGTGTTCGTTTTTCCTGCTTCTTTTGTTCCACCACCGCCATTTTTATGACAGGATACGATACGTGTTTGTTTCTTCTGCATCTCCTTGCTTACTCACCCTTTAATCCTCCACCGCTCTTTCGTTGCTTTCTCTTCGCAATTGTTCCACTTTTTTCTGTTTCGTTTCTTCTGCTTCATCTCCCCTCTAGCGACCTTGCTTTTCTCTTCCGCCACCATCGACGGTCCCGATCCTTCCACACCTACCGATTTCTTCTTCTACTCTGATTATCACTCTATCTCTTCCCTTTTAATTTCTCAGAACGAAGATCATGGAACTGAAGGCCGAAGCAATACCGAGGATACCGCCGCCGCCGCAGGGATCAGCGCCCTTTTCAATCTGACCCGTGTAACTGATAACTGTTAAGATAGTAACGTAAAGGAAGAGAAGGGTGGCAATGAACTCGGTAATCACAGCTCTGTACAATGACCACTTGGTCAGCTCCTTGGGTTCTATGAATGACACCGGTGGTGGGTCGTGGTAGTCCTTCGCCGTGTCTCCCACTTCCGCCACTTCCCGCCTCTCCAATTCCCACCGGCTCTCCAAAACCCTTCGTTTCTCTCTAAACTGATCGACATGTCTTCTATCATTGATATCTACAACAAAAACATCCTACAATCGATCGGTGATTTCAACTGTTCTCACTTCTGCTTCTCCCCGACTTCCAGCACTACCGTCTCCACTGTAATCGATTAGGGTTGTTCGCATTTCTTTGCCACAACTTCATAATTTCGAGCAGGGCGTTGATTAGGGCTGCTCGCATTTCGTCGCCACACCTTCAGAATTTGGAACATCGGTAGCTATCGATGAATAACCAAAGACCAGGGCTGTATTTTGGGTTGAGCAAACATTTAATTGGTGAGGTACCGGTACCCCTTCTCTATCAATGCGCATCTGTTACACTTCTGTCCTTCTGCCTTCATCTATTGATCTGTGTTTATGTATGTTTCAATAAATGTTTGGTAATTGAGTGATTATATTTCACATATTCAAATCGAGTTTCACATATTCGTCAGGCCAGAGATTCTAGGCTTCCTTTTCTCTCAAAAGGTGATACGCCCCACCAAACCACACCTATTAGTCAGGGTCTGACCATCCTACAAGAAATCGTCCATGCCCTCAATAACCGTATATTTGATTGATTCCATGTTTCTTTTTCCAAGTATCATGAACACCGATTTTATTGAAATAGTCAACTTTTTACACAGTTTTATGGTATGTTTATAACATTTGCATATGTTTCTTTGATGTAGACTCTTTGGAAGAGGATCTGGTAAAGGCTGCATGCCACTTGGAAATGTTTGTGATGAAAAATTACAAGGTGATAACTGAAGGAGGTGATAGTGCTATTACAGATGACGTGAAATGTATCAACTGTCAAGGTACAACTGTCTTTTTTTTCTTTTCATATTTTTCTATGTATTAGCTTCTAAAAAAAATCCTCTGTTGATTTACGAATTATGGATTCGATCCAAATGGTGGATCTCAAACACTCAATGTACTAGCTGAAAACCTCTTTGGTAAGGTATTTAATCTTTGCTTACAGAACTCATGATTAAGATTTAGAAACATCAACATTGTTCAGTACAATTATCTTTTGGTAATTAGTAAATTTGTTGAGTGTTTGAAGGATGATTCATATGTGGTAAGGATCTAGGGCAAATCCATTAACACGAATTTTGCATGCTATTGTTGCTTACCATCCATATGTTCCACAGTTACTGCAATTCTTTTTTTGTTGAAGCAATTTGCTAAGCCTTCTTCTATTCTGGAACCCTTTCAACACAAATAATCCTATAAATGGGGTGGGGGAACATCTACAAGTGACGAATGAAGGTTTTTTACATTGGCATCTATCATGTACATGGATTACAAGCTCCACCCACTCTCTCCATTTACGTCTCCTCCACCGATTCCATTTTCGTTTCTCTCTAATCTGCTTCGTATCTCACTTCCCAAATACAGTCGACGTTGTCGGATGAGTTGTTGCCTTTGAATTTCTCTTCTTCTATACTTTTCCTTTTGCTCTCAACAATATTACAGAGTCCATAAACCAATGGCGCAAGGACTCCACCCCGGATGATTCATATGTGGTAAGGATCTAGGGCAAATCCATTAACACGAATTTTGCATACTATTGTTGCTTACCATCCATATGTTCCACAGTTACTGCAATTCTTTATCATATGCATAGAATAACCAAAAGAATAGAAATCAGATTGCAGACAAGTTGTTTGTTCAAATGCCTGAGAGGAATTACTTTCTTCATATGGTTGTTTTCACTAATTGGTTACACGTTTTAACTTTTATCTATTGAATTATTCTTGAACCAAATCTTTATTGGATGTGTATGTGTGTGTGTGTGTGTTTTTTTTTTAAATAATTTTAGGTGGTTGCAGGTATGATATGCAAGAGGTAAGTTTTCTATTTATCAGTTAACATTCTATGTTTTTCTCAAAAGCATTGGCACTTCATGAGGTCTGACATTCACTTCAGTGAGTATTAATTCATATTCTCTAAACTGACCACTTGATTTTTTTTTTCTGATTATATCTCTTTACTATTTTCAAGAGTATTTTACCCTTTTGTATACGCGAAGTTTGGATTATAACTTCTTGCTTGAGTTTAGTCAATGCATGTTGCTGCTCATAAAATATCGAGCCATCACCAAAACACAAGACTGGGACAATACTAAGTCAAAAGGGTAACTTGCATTAGAGAAAGCTGTTTAGCTAACTGTTTGTTTGGGAAGAATAACTTGCATTGGAGATAACTGTTCAGGTAGCTGGGGAGACATGATGCATTCTAACTGCTCGATGTAATTCTTCAACCAGGTTTCTGCATTTTCTGTCTAATCTTTTTGTTCAAGTTCATTTTTTGTTTCAAAATTGTGTTTAACATTCCTCTTGATTTGTTCCTAATTTCCCCGTAATGCACAATACGAGATTTAAGGATTATGTTCTAAATCTTATTTTAATTTTGAAAATGTAGATATGCACAAACATTTTCAACATCGTATACCATATTTACCTCCTCTACAACATTCGGTTGGTTGTCTTCCAATTGGCACTTGGATTAGAGAAATTAGGGGTGAAAGGGAATTAAATACATTTCCTCCTAATTATACTGTTTGGAGGTGTAATTCAATTCAATTCAATTCAGTATTAGTACCACGTATTTAAGAATTGAAATTATTTTGTCACCAAATATCTAAAAGGGTTTGTTTTCATCTTACAGCAAGATTTTGATGAATGATCTTCTTTTTTGGATGGAATGTAACATTTGTATTAACTCAATAAACTCTTTGTGTTTTGTCCATTTCTGTTTCGTAGCCAATCCCGCAACGCGGGTTTCTTCTCTAGTTCTATATTAAGTTAATGTTTATTGGGAAATAAAAATTGCATTTATGTGTTATTATTTGCAGTAATTTATATAATTTAAAATAAAAAACGAATTATACTACATATAACCATTTTACTTTTTCATTATTAAAAGAATCATTGTTCCAACAATTGCAATAGAGAGGCTTTCATGACATCAAAAGATTTTTGAGTTAGAAAACATTACAAGACAATGATGTTTATATACATTTTTTACTGTTTAAAGTTTGTTCAAATTTTAAATTAATATTTTCTTTTGGCAGTTTTGATCGACCATAAGACGAACGGGTGTGGGCAACGCGCATGAGGCGTTATCTTACGTGGCATACGCCCTTAACGGCGCCATGGCGGGGAACACCGCCCCAGGCTCGCGTTAAGGCGCGTTACGCCACGGCGCGTTATGGTGACAACGGGTGATAACGGGTGATTTTCTCTTTTTTTCGACATAATTTTGACCGTTTGTTTTCAAACGGTAACATAAAAAAAATCAACTTTTATATATATACTATATCAAATCATATTTCTTTCATTTTTACCTACAAAATTCTCTACATATTTCTTTCAATATTTCAAAACCAAAATATGGATGAATTTGATCCGGCCCATCCGTACAATGATGATAACGACGAAGATGATTTGTTCGTGAGTATGATGTACCAGTATTATACAGGCAGCCGAGTACAGCCAGATCCAACTCTATTACTCACGCGACGTGCGACGTTAAATAGAGATCGCGAGGAAGGGCATAGACGACTAGTTAACGATTACTTTGCGGAAAATTGTGTCTGCCAACCAAGCGATTTCAAAAGAAGATTTCGTTTGCGAAAAAATGTTTTTTGAAAGGATAGCCACCGCTATGGAAGCAAGGTATCGTTTGTTTCAACTTTTATGATTTATAAAATGTCACTTTTAAATAAATATAGATATAATTTTCACGTGTTTAATATTTATTTAGGTATGAATTTTTCCAAATGAGATATGATGCTAGAGGCAAACGAGGCTTCACAGGGTTGCAAAAATGTGTTGCTGCAATTAAACTTATGGCAATGGGGGAGTAGCCCGATTCTATTGACGATTACATGAGAATGTCTGAGAGGACCGCACGAGAAAGTTTGTATTTATTGGCAAGAGGTGTTGTCGAAACCTTCGGTGACCAATACTTGCGCAAACCTTCGTTGCATGATATGCAACAATTATATGCGGCGCATGAAGAAAGACATGGTTTTCCGGGTATGCTTGGGAGCATTGACTGCACACACTGGAAATGGAGAAATTGCACCGTGGCGTGGAAAGGCCAGTATTCGAGCGGTCATCATGGAGCGCCTTCGTTGGTATTAGAGGCTGTTGCTTCACAAGATTTATGGATTTGGCATGCTTTTTTCGGGGTTGCGGGTTCTAACAACGACGTCAACGTTCTCGATCAATCACCGATATTTGACGATCTTTTGTCAGGAAAAGCCCCGGATGCTCCTTTCACAGTGAATGGAAATGAATATAAGTTCGGGTATTACCTTATAGACGAAATATATCCACAATATTCTACGTTTGTGAAGGCGTTTCGACACCCAATAGATCCAAGGGACAAATATTTCAAGAGACGACAAGAAGGAGCACGTAAGGACGTTGAACGTGCTTTTGGGGTTTTGAAATCAAAATGGCACATTGTTAAACATGCGGCGAGACCTTATGAGTTAGATACTCTACGATATATCATGTATGCATGTATCATAATGCATAACATGGTTGTCGAAGATAAAGGACGCAATATTGCAACATATTCTCCTACGGAACCAAGACATGTGCAATTTCAACCAGGGACATCAGAATATTTACATAGAGTGGTTGATATTCAAGATCAGCGAAAACACAAGCAACTCCGTGAAGACTTGGCGGATTACATCTATGTTGGTCACGAAGAAGAAGATGAATAGTTTTAGGGCAAAAAATGTAGGTTTTATCATCTTTTTTTTTTTTGTTTTTTTTAGGTTTTTAAATGTTTTTGTGTTTTGTTGTAATTTTTTTAATGTTGTTTTTAATTTAAGATTTATTAAAATTTTATTTTTTACTTTTCAAATATAAATAAATAAAAAAAACAAATTCGAAATATAGAAAAAAAACATCAGAAAAAAAAAATAGAAAATAATTGGTGTTATCACATGTTATTAGATGTTGCCCATTTCCACCTTGGGTGTTATAACATCATGTATGAGTAGGATGCTGACATGACACCTTTTGGGTGTGGTAACATGTGATAACATGTTGCCCACACCTAGTAGTCTAAGAAAAACGCTATTTTATGGAATTTTTTTAGTTTTGAAATACTTTTATTAATAAGTAAACGGTTAATAGTTAACCAAACCGAAAAACACTTTAACCAAAAACCGGCTAACCGAATTTTTCAATTTAGGTTTAGGATTAAGAAAAGATCTAACCAATAATTCCGGTTAACCTTCCGAAATACCATTTCGGTTTTGGTTATTCATCCATTAAGACCTTGCAACCCACCGCACCATATCTCCCTCTCCCTTTTACATTTAAAAAAATAATAATACTAATAATAAAATAAAACCTCAACGACTTCCCTTCCTCTGTCTCTCATAAATGATAAATCTCGCTTTTTTATTTTATTTATTTATTTATTTATTTATTTTTTTTTGGATAAGAGAGCAAACAACACAATTTTTGATCAAGAAATCTCCACCCTAGAAGCTTTTATTTTCGGTATAAGAACAAGCATCAAGCATGTTTCTCCATCAGATCCGAAGATGATAATAATAAAATTCCAGTGGGATCGGACAATCAAAACAACATACTTTGTAATTGTATTGGTGAAAGAAAGTAAAGAATAGAAATGGAAAACTATAGTCTAGCTTGTGCGGGTTAGGTTATTTATGCCCAAGCTCTTTTCCTGGGAACAAGATCTGAAGTTTTTATGTCATCAATTTTTGCAGCAACAATGAAATCATTCATGCTCAACCCTCCTGCAAAGCAACAATAAATCGAAATTAACATTTTTGCACTCATGCAAGAACATGAATGATTGTGTGGTGTGGTTACCAATGGAAGAAGTCCAGAGCTCCGCTCTAACTTGATTGGGTGGTTCCAGGTGAAGGTTAGGAAGATGACCCGTAGATTTTACTACCGTGAAAATTCTGTTTATGAGTTCCACCCCACATTCAAAATCTCTAAGCTTCCATAAACATTGTAGCTTTAGTTTTCCATCTTGGTTTACTAGCCTCCAACCAATGACCTACATCAAAGTATACAACAAGAAAGAACAATTACAGATATGTCATATGATATATGGAGAAACAAAAAACTTATATAGCACATGCTGTATAGTTTCTATAGTTTAAAAAAAAAAAAATTGACCCCAAACCCAAATCATACTAAAACAAGTGCTACTTTTTTCCTTCAAGGACATAGTTTAAAATTAATATATAAATAAAATTAAAATGAACCTTTCGCAAAAGCTGCTGTGCATCATCCTCGGAGATCGGAGACTGCAAATGGGTAATTGGAGTGCATTCTTGTTGAGCAAGGGACATAGCAGCGACATTGGGGATCAGAATCCTGTGCTCGGTGTCCAAAAGACCTACTCTGTCACTGAAATTTGTCTCTATTTCCGCAGGAAAAGGGTCTCTGGCGCCAAAGTCACCCAGAGAATCGTTGCCCAAAGCAAAACTTTTTCTTCTTGTTCTCATCGACCCTCGACTAACCATACGATGATGACTATCATTGAAAATTACAGAATTGTGGCTTTGGTTTTTAGAGAAAGTGACTGGAGGAGCGAAGAAGCAAAGAGTGGCAAAACCCGCCATCTGTGAGAGAGAACACTCTCGTTCTCTTGATGAAATTGAAAAAATTAAAAGGAACGGAGCACTTTCTTCTTATCTTCCCCTGCACTACAGACGGAGGGATGGAGGAGCAAGGTTTGTTAAGTTTTCCGTTATCTTATCCAAGTGCTCAAAAATAGGTGGTCCAATCATTTTTTTAGACAAAACTTCAAAAATGGTCCCTGTAGTTTTCGAAAATATCAAGTTTAATCCCTAAGTTCAAAAAACCTCATGGATCGTCCCTGTGGTTTCAAAACTTTTAACAAATGCTCTTTTCCGTTAACTCCGTTAGCTTTTGGCCGTTAAATGAAGGACATTTCGGTCATTTCACTACTACAGGGACCATTTATGAAGTTTTGTCTCATTTAAAAAAACAAAAAAATATATAATTATTTAATATAAAGGGGGCCCACCTCTCTCTCTCTCTCTCTCTCTCTCTCTCTCTCTCTTCGTTGTCTTCTCCCTCTATTTTTTCATTGTCTTCTCCCTCTCAATGATATGCAGAAAGAAAAAAAAGAAACCCCAACCACATACACCCATTTGATTATTCTGAAAACTCGAACTGTGAATAAATGAATATATAAACCATTCTATATATTCATTCCATCATCACATTCCTCCAATCCAAGAGAAAACCTGCAAGCCAAGAGTAAACCAAGAGTTGGGGTGAGATACGAAATGGAACAAGGGGGTCAAAATGGGTCATCGTTTAATCGACAACAAAAACACACAGGAGAACAAAAAATAAAGAAGATATCAAATGAACTTCATCTTCCCCTCCGATTTGAGTGCTGTTAATCGAGTATTGTTAAAAAAAATAAAGAAGATATCAAAATCGAGTACTGTTAATCGTGTTCTCCAACAACGATTTGAGTGGCTAAGTCAAAAAAACTACAACAACTTAAAACAAAACCTTGATTTTGTTTTTAAATTCTTGAAATCAAGCCTAAATCCAAGACAAAACACGATTGTGACTGGCTGTGGTTTTCTATAATCGTCTTCTTCACTCTTGCAACACATCAATAGAAGCCGCCCATGGCTTAGTTCAGCTCGAAAACAACGATTCCCTAACGACATCTCCATTGCTTCGATAATCAGCCTCTTCTATCCCGATGAGGTCTATCTTGAAACGATTTAGACTCACTCATCGTCATCAATGGAGGTGGAAAGCTTCGTGAAAGCACCATCTTGGACTCCACCTAATCTCTCCGACTCCTTTTGACTAATAAAGTCGATGATGGGAAGGCAAAAATGGGGTCATCCCCGCTCGTGTTGCTGCTAGTTTCGCTACCTAAACTCCCAGTTCAAATATCGAGGCTTTTCTTAGTAACTTTCAACGATTTTTGGTCATGAAGATAAGATTTTCTGGTTTTTGTGAGGAAGTTTCATCAATAGGCTTGTGGGAAAAGGGAGATTCGAGGAAAGTAGAAGGTCAGAAGATGGTTTTTGGTTGTAAGATTGAGAGAGAGAGAGAGAGAGAGAGAGACCCTTTAATATTAAATAATTTTTTAAAAAAATAAGGCAAAACTTCATAAATGGTCCCTGTGGTAGTGAAATGACAGAAATACCCTTCACTTAACGGCCAAATTCTAACGGAGTTAACGAAAAGGACCATTTGTTAAAAGTTTTGAAACCACAGGGACGATCGATGAGGTTTTTTGAACTTAGGGATTAAACTTGATATTTTCGAAAACCACAGGGACCATTTTTGAAGTTTTGTCTTTTTTTATTTGAAATTAAATATATAAATTATAAAAGTCATCCGAAGAGAAACGAAAGGAAGATGCAAGCTATAACAAACCATCGAAAAACGATGTCAACTCAGCGCTAAGTAGCTCTACTTAGCGTCATCGAAAAAACTCAGCGCCAAGTAACTCCACTACAAACTTACTACTAACCTACTAGACATTGAAAATAGTTACCACTTTACATAGAAAATTAAACCTAAATTACTAAAAAGAACATAAAAAAATATAGAATCTAGTTACGATAGTTTTCAAGAACTTGTTGTTGAATTTTAAAAAACATGTTTAAATTTTCCGGGTCGAGATCCAGTTGCGGCTTCATGTTTAAAATTTGAAGATCGGTTAGTGTCATTTTTCGCCGACGAGCTTCCTCCGTTGACTCAATTTTTTTTTTCTTCTAAAAATTTAGATTTTTGTCTGCTAGTACGTCCTCGTTGGTTGATTTTCCGCTTGAAGACACTCCCTTTCTCGCTTTGTCCCTTCCTGGTGGTCAACAAAGTTGGATGTCCGGTGGACCATCCCCCTCAGTGGCGTAGAACTCATCATTGAGGTCGAGGCTAACACCAACGTCCTACCCGTAAGTTCTTGCCCTTTTGTTGGAGCCGGTGGTAGATCCCAAATGCACCGTTTCCAGATAAAGGGCTCATTTTGGACCATTACAACAAACTTCCCACACTTTTGGTTGTCGAATGGTTTACCATTGTTGGTAATTTTTTATTGGTAGAACGCGGTTGATAAAATGTTGAAATCGTTGCTACCACTTCTATGCATATTTTTAAGATTTTCGAATACGCAGTTAAATTTAGTGCAATCCGCTCGAAGGTCACGCCATTTTGCATTGATTGAGTCATATGTCCGGTTCGTTTTCCTTCCTAGTAACGCGTGGAAGTGGTCTAAAACACTATTGTGATATGTGCTCCGAGTTTAACGTCGTCTTGAAATGGTTTCGTATGGGTTAAGCCTAAGAATCATAGCAAAGAAAGAAACATGCGTCAGTCGTCGTCCGGGAGGTGGTCCCGGAACAACGCTACGACGGTCTAGTCAGTAATTGGATGAGAGAATTAGGGTTTACTTTAAGGTAGAGAATGAGGCGATCCCTTCTTCTAGAGAAAAAAGTTTTCTTTTATACATGTGGTCGTGGGAGCATGTCCCCGACAATACATTTTGTCTTGTCTGGGCCGATAGGACATGGAGGCGTCCTATTGGCGGATCATGCACCACTAGCGGTTATCTGATATTGGTGCAGAACTACTGAAGGGCAGCACTCTGAGCGCTACACTTGTCACTCTGGGAAGCGGTCATAATTGTTTTTGATTACTATAGACCGGAGTTTCTCGTTCTGAGTTGGACCTTGGTGTTGGATTAGTGTCTAAGTCCACAACTATAATTGGTATGTACTGGACCCGATTGGCATGGTCCATTTGGGTTGCATGGCATCATGCATTTGGATAGACTAAAATGAGAGAAATAACACTTAAGGTTTACTAATATATTATAAGTTCTAATATATTAATAAGATTATTTAATTAGTATTGATCAAGAATTAATTTGGAATTAATTAAGTGATCAAAAGGAGACTAATTAAATATATGGGTTGATTGTGTAAATCATCCATACTTGTATAGTGGGCTAATGCTCCATGGATTATCAAGTTGGGCTAAAACCCATAGGATGCTCCATGGTGTTTTTGTACCAATGGATCATGGAAATGAAAGGCCATGACAATTAGGGTTTACATGGTGTAACCCTAATTGTGACACACTATATAAGCATCTTATTCTTCCCAAAAATCAGCCACTATGAAGGAAGGGTAAGGGCTAGCCGATTTCATGAAGTGTCTCATTTCTCTCAAGTTTACTTAAGTGTATTTGGTGTTGTGTGAACCATTTGAGGTGTCACACTTGGGGCACTAGGCTCTTAAGCTCCATGGAATCAAGCTACATCAAAAGGTATGTCTTCTAACTTATATTATTACATATGAATCAATGTTTTGTATGCTAGTTAGGATAATAACTTGGAATATTCATATTTGCATGTATAATAGAGAAAACATAGATCCAAGGTATTTAGGGTTGCATGTACACTTAGGAGTGTTAGAATGCTCAAAACCCCAACAGTGGTATCAGAGCCTAGGCTTGTTTTCTTGTTATACTTGCAAAATTGGCTGAAAAATCGAAGTTTGTTGCTGTCTGCTCAGCAGACTCGCCGAGTCCATGAAGGGACTCGACGAGTATGATGAATTGTAGAATCAAGTATTAATCAAAATCAGAGTTAAACGAATGCAGATTGAACAAACAATGTAAATAAGATCTGGTTTCTGCTCATTTACGCTTTCAACTTTTACAGAGAGAATAGACAGGTTCTGTCAAGGACTCTTATCTAACTCTAGTAAAGTTCCATATTTATAGGAACAGTGAAAGCATACAAAAAATACTAAGGCATTGACAATTAAGCTTTGTACGAAATACACCTTAGTAAATAAACATTACAAAACATACGAAGGGTAAAACAGACTTCGACATATTACAATATAATTCGACCCTAACAATCTCCCCCTTTGTAATAATGTCGACCTTCGTCAAGTTCAAGAGTATCTGTATAGCATACAGCATAACTCTTCGAATCTCAGTGTACCAAGAGATTATCTTCTTTAGCTCCTTCTTGTCTCCTTCATTATTCTTCTTGCAGCTATTCATACGAATAATGAAATTCGTATATTGAGATGTTGTATATCTTTCCACTTCGGAAGCTTGAAACAAGAATCTTTTTGCCTTCCCGTTTTTATCTTTCCCAGCAAATACCATACCAACTGGTTTCAAACATATTTCTCCGTCAGCATACTTCTTCAACTCAGGTTGAGTTAAAGGAAGTTCCATTGGCACTTTTATAGTCAATCCCTTTGCTGTAGCTAACTCAACATCAGTAAGTGCTAAACACTCATAATAGTTGTCAATGAAAATCTTGATGTGAGCCAACCCAAGTCGAAAAACTTTAGGATCAGTTTCTCGAAGATACGAAGCGTCTTTATCCTTTAGTAACAATGCAACTTGTATCAGATCATACAAGTTCATTAAGGGAAAATCAGCTACCGAAAAATCACATACTTGCCCATTTGCCCTCGAAACAATAAAGCGAAGATTCTGCATCATATTTTCGAACAATACATCTCGCTTTATGCTTATCACCTTCTTTATCTTCACCAGAGACCAAATTTCCTCTGGAAGTTTTCCAAGTACAGCATGAAATCTGATCTTCATGTATGTGTACTCATCATCATTGTCAAATTTCTCAGCAATTTTGTACTGAGCCATGATGAACATCA